ATTTTGGTTTTTTTTTCCATTTAATGATTAAATATTCTTGGTTTCATGTTAACTTTCCTGCTGTCATGACACCCCCCCCCACCCCCCCCCCCCTTTAATCCCCCTCAAGTGCTTGTGTCCTTCCCTTTAAATGTTTATTTTTAAATATATTAACAAAAGGATATATCTTTATTTTGTACACAATTTGTACACTACAACCAACTTAATAAAAAAATATAATAATACATTAGACTCTTGTCTTTCGTTATAAAATTATTTATTTAATTAATTTTATATTATTTTTTTTTTCTTCATTTGGGTTCATGAAATCCATCCAAGGAAAAAAAATCTGATGATCCACAGATTAGATTTAGTGAATCAACACAGCTAGGAATTAATGAATGAACACAGATAGGAATTAATGAATCAACACAGGTAGGAATTAATGAATCAACACAGGTAGGAATTAATGAATCAACACAGATGGGAATTAATGAATCAACACAGGTGGAAATTAATGAATCAACACATGTGGGAATTAATGAATCAACACAGATAGGAAGTAATGTTAATGAAGAAACACAGGTAGGATTTAATAAATCAATAAAAGTTAGGAATTAATGAATAAACACAGGAAGGAATTAATGAATCAATACATGTAGGAATTAATGAATAAACACAGGAATGAATTAATGAATAAATACAGATAGGAATTAATGAATAAGCATAGATGTGAATTAATGAATCAACACAGATGAGAGAGTTAATGAATTAAGACAGTAATGAATCAACATATGAGAGAGTTGACAAATCAGCATAGATGAGAGAGTTAACTAATCAACACAGTTAAATTTCAGTTACCTTCTTTTATAATCCTTCATTTCAACATGTTTTAACACTTTCGATGTAATGAAATCAAATTTGAGAAACTTCTAAAAGATAAATGTTTCATTAGCTCCCCTTCCACTTCTGCCAAAGATTTAAATGTAGACTTGCTTAGCTATCCAAACAATTTCAAACATGATTGAACAAGCAGCTGAAATTATACTCTCGATGTAGAAAACTAAAAATGAATGAACATAACTTTATGAAGTTGAATGTCACTTTTTATAGAACTATTTTATACTGTAAGCTAAGTTTCATGTCAGGATCATGTTAAAAAAACTTCATGGGCCATGGGTTATTTGAGGAGTCCAATTGCAAACCCTGCTAAGTCGATTTTTTGAAAAAAATGAGTTAGTCCCCTTGGCTCATCTATGAAGCGCTATTTCACAATATTTTACTAGTTTTTAAAATCAAAACCCGCTAAGTTCGCTTATTTCGCTATTTAAAAACGGAGTGGCTATAGGTACCCGGGTACCCATAGCATCAACTGGCTATTCGGATCCGGCTGGTCACGTGAGGGCTTTAGATTATTCGGTTGGTCACGTGATAGTTATGACGGATACTTCCTGTTAGAGCCATTATCATCAATCGGGACATGTGCCAAATTTTGAAGAATTTCATGTGGCGTTGATTAAACATAAGAACAATGTGCGTATATCTAAAAGCAAGTAAGAATACGTTTATGTTTATAATTTTATTGTATTTTTAAATTCTATTTTAAATATAGTTCTATAATCTTTACCAAGTGGATGCGTACACCGCGGCGGTGTACCTAGCGAAACCATCGGCTTTGGCCTGCGTAAACCGCGGCGGTGTACCTAGTGAAATCGTGGGCTTTGGCCTGGGTACACCGCGGCAAAAATTTACCATTGGCCTGGTTTTAAGATATACTTGTTAGAGACGATCTTGTGTGGTCAAGTGGTAGAGGGGACGCTTGGCGATAATATAGTTTGAGATCAATTCACAGTGGGGGATCGAGGTTTTTTCCTCCCATTTTAGTTTTTAAAATATTTTGTAGCAATTTAAACAATTTAAATATATGTTTAAATATTATATTAAATACACTTTATATATTTATTTATAAATTAAGTGTTTCAACAAGTTGTGCCGGCCTTTGACTTTGAAAATACCGGTAAATTTAGTAATAAGACTTTAGACATTTGAAAACAAACTTAAAGTTTCTGAAAGCGCATGTAATACATGATGATCATGTATAACAGAAACATTATGAATACTAAGTGACTGATATTCTATTGTATTTCAACATTCTTCGTATAGTTGAATATTTACATTTTACTTTTACGAACAACCAAAGAAAATACCAGTATGAATAATATTCATGCATATGAATATTAATGTGCATGGTCGTATTTCAACCTTGAACCATCTTGCTTTCACTATGCCTTATGCATTGGCAAAATGTACATACGATATCAAAGGTTCATTCACAACACTCAGTCTCACAGCAAATCTTTTGAAAACACCTCGATTTTAGAAACTTGCGGAGCGGTAGCAAACTGTATAGCAAAGCCATAGGTCTGCGTTTACCCTTTTCATGACGTAATTTGTTTCCAGAATGGCATGGCATGTGCTATTCTCAGGGTAAAACACGACGTTTTCTCACAGAAACCATTGCACAATGCGCCTGGGACAGGATTTGCACTATGTCAAAGTTTTTGTATTTGTTGTTGTTTTTTTTTTTTTAAGAAATCGATCCTTGCCGGGGAGTGGGGGGTGGTGGTGAGTTATGGGCAGAGGCTTAACCAAAAAGAGGGCATTCACAAATCACGGCTCAGGATAGGGGTTGTCCACAAAGGACGTCCGCACAACCAACTTACCTTTTGCATCCCCCCTCCCTCTGCCTGCATTTTTTTTACTAATGTGTAATGCCAATGTAAAACTAAATCAATGATTTTTAATTATTGTTAAAAGACTTTCAAATAACTGCAGTGTTTCGTATTGATCATCTTACTGCTGTTTTGTGTTGACACATGCTTGGTGTCACAATGACAATGCCTCGGACTACTTTAACTTCACAACTTCATGATCAATGTATGAGTATGTGATTCTCTTCCCGTATTGTATTTGTGGCGTAATTATATCATGGTGCTAACAAAATAGATACACTGTCTTCCCATTCATTTTTACACCATGCCCCGAGGGATCACATACAATGTTATATTTATAAGGCACCCCCCCCCCAAAAAAAAACCAAAAAAACCCAAAAAAAAACAACTAACAACTGGGTGGGGGGGTGGGCATGAGAGAATAATTTCAAATTAAGGTTCACAATCATATGATAAAACTTACAATTAATAAATATATTTGTATTTCAATATATGGGGGGAAGGGGGAATAAAGTGGTTAACTTTAAAAATAAATCATGGTTTAACATTACACCCCCAGCCCCCTCCCTTCCAAAAATAATAAGAAATGCTTTACATGCACTTTGCCACATAAGCGTGGAACTTACTCAATATCTTCCCAAGGTAATAAACGAATTTTAAATAAATAGTTTTCAGTTTTAACACGAGTATAACATTAAATCTACAAGTACCGGTTAGGCCAAAAAGTTAAAGACTCGCAAAGACCATAGTTTTGCTACTTTAAATCGCTGCGGTGTACGCAGGCCACAGACCATGATTAAGCTAGGTCCACTGCCGCGGTGTACGCAGGCCAAAGTCAATAGTTTCGCTAGGTACACCGCCGCGGTGTACGTAGTGCCAGCCTAATCATTAACATGACATCGGCTACCGGTACTGTCTTATTTGTAATTTGTAATGAAAAGTTTGGATGCGGCTATTCGGACCTGGTATCAGAAGTGGGTACTTAAATTTTAATTCACCGCAAAAAATATTATTATATTCACTTTTCCCATAAAACAAATGTTCTTTTGAATAAAATAAATGGCTAAAAACAATTCGGAGAGATCAACCCGCGGCCGCCATCTTGGTTATCGTGACCCACGAACTTATGTCCTAAATGTATCCCTAAACCTAACACGAACCCTAAAATGTATCCCTAAACCTAATCAATCTGAATTAGCCTAAAAAACTTTTAATTCAAA